GAAGGGGAAATCGACGATTTGATATCTTTTGCGCCGTCTCTTGGACTTTCGTTGGTTGATTCCGAAAATGTATTCAATTAAAAAGAGAGTTCGTCGAATTTTAGATTGTTTTCAGTAAAAGTGTAAAAGTACAAAATACTACTACAAATTTTCACGCTTTTCACTGAAAGCGTTCCCCGTTGCCGCACACTGCTGATAGAGGTCGTCCCGCGCCCCCAGACTACCCTACCGAGGGTCCTACGATTTTGCATAACACGTAAGTATTCAGTAAAAGTATTTTAACATACTGTTTATTCATTCACCTAAATCTATCCTAAAGCTAAATTCCATCAATTTGAACAATCCAATATCAAGTCCCAACGGTGTACGAATCTTGAAAGAGATATAATTTCAAGCACCCTCCCCTCCACCGTAACCTTGACCATGTATTTTTCGCGCGACATATCACGCCACTTCTTGCATACGAAATGACTTTATCAAAATAATCACAATTTATTTGTGTTTTTTATTTCTACCTAAATTTCATGGATTGATATTTGCTTTGCTCTACTTTAAGACCGAACAAGGAAAAAAAAATAACCGTAGCATGAAAAGTTAGTTGTGAAAATTTAGCGATGCAAAAAAWTTTTTCCGATTTCTGAAATGGGTACCATGGCTTCGTGATTATCTAACACGCATTCTGATTGGTTAGTGAAATGACTGAGGAAGTCATGCCAAACCACCAGATGTTTGGAACGTTCTGATTGGTTTATCACAGATCATGCGATCCAACATCCGACAGAAAATACACATCGCCATTTACGTTGACCTAAAAGGAAATATAGCCTTGGTTTTTCACGAATTCGGCTTCTTCATGCACTGCTTTTTATGTGGAAAGCAGACTAGATCTGCTGGACAGTTTTTGATACACATGTATCGCAAAATTGCTCCAACGACGGTGAATACCGTCGTACGAGGAATCGTTTTGTTCTTGATCGGTGGATTTCTTGCTATGGTACTCTTTGCATTGTCAATCTTACCTGAGGCTCAAAAAAGACGATTGGGGTCTTTCCCCATAGAAATTATAATACGTGTTTACTCTACTTTTTGGTGGATTCCTCCATCGTGTGGGACAATGGCGGCGACTATTGGGTTAGCTTGTCCTGGTCTTGATTCATGGCTTGGCAAGCCTCATAACTTTCAACGAGAATGGTCTAGTGTTGCAAGATGTGTGGCGATGTTTGTTGGAATAAGTCACGGCACTGCAGTATCCTTTTACGACAATATTTTTATAGTACTTTTTCTGAAATTGCTCAGATATGTTCAGAAAAATTTTTTTAGCAATCGTAAGCTTTTTATGAGCTAAGAAAWTATCAGAATATTTCCCACATTGGGACCTATTCATATTTTATGTGGTCTAAATTGCACAACATGCCCCCCCCCCCAGATTTTTAGCAATATTAGCTATGCTCAAGCACTTTTCCACTTTAACTTTACAAACTGTTTAGATAATCTAAACAATTTGTTTATATTTTCACTGAGATTTCCTGTTCTTCTATTTAACAACAGGTTATGCCCTTTGGTTTTCATTTAGTTTTGTTGATTTTTTTTTCATTCCTTTTTTTATTTTTTGAACCAGTTGCAGCATGTGCTAGACCCAATGCAAATGGGAGGACACTACTTAATTTATAGATGTCAGRCAGAAAGGATCATTCAAATGTTTTTTGAAGGTCACCAGGGAAGTGACAGTACATATGTCATGCTATCATCTCTCCRAACCAAATTAGTCAATTGGCGTTGACCCAAATACATTCAGTATGGCATTGATTCTTAAGTCAATTCAAATGCATTCAAAAGCATAAGAAAAGATCTAATAACATGCAATTTACATCGTTATTATCGTCGAAAAAAGATATTATTATTTGTGAGTGAAGTTTGGCACCTCAAAAGCTCAACAGTTGAATCAGTGCCAAGCTTTTGCCGTGCAGCACGACTGGTGCTGCTGTGCCACTGCTGTGCTACGGTCGTGCCAGACTTTATTGGAACTATTTGGCTCGCTGTGACACTGGCTCAACCTTAGTCCACCAATCAAAACCAAGCTAATGTTTGATTTCTTTTATTGGTAAAATTTTAATTTTCAATCAGTTAGACTGTCAGATCGAGTGTAACCAAATCAACAAAATMAACTGAATTTTATTTTGCATGGGCGTGATTGACTGCCACATACTATTTTGATTGGCTACCAATGGAAATCTACTGAAATRGTCAAATGAAGTTGATTGTTATCAGTATTCAGTATTTTTCCACATACTTTTTTACGGTGTTAAATTTATCTTTTTACATAACTGTTTCTTTAGAAACACCGAYGCAGCTCACACTAGTTTACCGCTAGTTCCCACCATGTTATTCAGTACATCTTGTTTGGTTGTTTGAATGTTTTCCTTAATATATATGCAAAGAAACTTGACTTCAGCAGCAGTTACCATCTATTTGTGTTTATGGCTATAACATCAATTTTACTGTGGTGGTTCTTCGATCGTTCAATTCTTGGTTTAGGCATAGCMGCAACYAGTGCRYTAGCTGCTTCTGTTGCTGTCATCCTCCTTCTTTACCTTGGTGTATGGATACTTAGGTATGTTATGGATAGTCTTTCCTTAAAAACCAAAGTGCAATATTCTGTTGTTTGTTCCTCACTCCTAGAAATAATGTCTGGAGCTTGGAGTTCTCAATTTGAAATTCAAAATCCAATTCGAAATTCAAAGTTGGCAAATGGATCAAATAATCAGACAATTAGACACTGTCTGTGGTTTTTGAGAATAGATTTCTAATGGCAAAAAACTGCTGACCATACATACAGTGTATGATATCTATATTATCTGGCAACCTGTGTTGACCATATGCATCATGAATTTCCAGCATTTCCCTACATTTTATGCAAACCAAAAGTAACTATGTATAAAAACAGAAAAATCAAGTTTCTGTTACAMTTCAGTGGCCAGTGGTAGTTACCATACATATTATAAGATCATCCTTCAGATTGCAAAAAAAGAAAGAAATTGATTGTTTTCAACCATTTCCTTGATAATGGCCACTTAGGCGGAAAGCTCRGTATTAAAAATATCACTAGTAAACGCAGAGGATCCATTTATTTTTAGAAATTATGCCTGCGTACAAAAAAAATTCTAAACATTTCCATGAGATTCAAAAGATAAATGACCGTCAGCTGTATTGGAGGAATGAATAATAGATACTAGTGAGAAATACTTCATTGCTTCTCCAGACTTACAGTGAAAACAAATAATAATAAAATTCCAGGTGAATTGCTTGGTCAGGGTGTTAGGGTTTCCCCTGTATCATCATTGTTTTCTTGTCATTACAAATAATTTAAAATCTTAACACCTACATTTTTACATCTAGATATCGACAAGTTTTAGCTGTAGTTCCTGGTCTCTTCTTTTCTGGTGCAGTCACATTTGGAAACATTGGCAGACAATTAGCTATGGTGAGTATAGTTTCAGTCCTTTTCTGTTTTCAGTTCACATTCACCAACTCAGTTCAGAACTGTTGTATTAGAAGTACAAAGAAATGGGTATGACAAGGATTCTGAAAGGAAATTGTTGTTGAACGGCATAAGAATTTTAACATTTCCTGCTTTTTCCACCAATAATAATCTACCTCACTCTAACCTCTTGTTGAATTTTCTCAATAGTCTCCTTCATGGTTACCTTCTCCATCTTGAAAGGTAGCCGTGCCTTTACATCGATGCGAGAGAACCGTTGAGTTTGCAGTGATAGATACCTGTGAATAATTGTCTGTAGGTGTGAAAGAAGGTTTCTATCATTGCACACTCAACGGTGGTCTCGCTACAGGCATGGCTACCTTTCAAGATGGCGCAGGGAACCGTGAAGAAGACTATTCACTTGCACTTGCTATTCAAAGTGCACCTTTAACAAATTATTATGTGATACACTGATTAAATGATGAAGTAATTTTATACTTTTTTGCATTCTAGGTGGAAAGCATCCCACGAAAATATAAAGAGCACTTCGACTAAAGATATTTTGATAAATGCATCAAATGGAACTGTTCTGCTGTATTTCCAGCAAAGTAGATGTAAATTTTATAAGATAATATAATATTTTAGAATAATAATGTAAAAACATCATTGACAATTGTGGGACAAAGTTCTATTATTTCAACTAAGAGTCCTTATACTGTGTACATGATTGTCAATGATATGCAGTAAAATATGGTGTATATAACATTTAATTGCATGTTCCATGGAAAAAGAATCCAGAATTTTCTGAATAATATTGTTTATATTAATAACTTTCTATTTAATACACATAACATTCAAATCTTGAGCAGTTGGTTGGCAATTTTTGGCAATTATTGTCCTATTTCGATTTACAATTTAATTTTTATTGTTGTTGAAATTCCATTAGAAGTTTATCATTTAGACACAGTCTTTTGATGAAACTACATCAGGACTGATAATATTGAAATCTGCCCTTTTGTTTACATGCTTGGCACTAATAACTAAATTTTTCAATAAATTCAGGCAAACTCCTCTTTTGGCCTTTTAGAACATAATCATGGTCATAATGGAGCTTGTGTTACAACTTATCAATTAGATATTAAAAAAAGACATATTAGACATATTTTGAAAGAGACATATTAGCTTGCTGGGGCTTTTGAATGTTTTGAACATAAGGTCTAATCATTTGCTGGCGAATGATTTTTTGCAGTGCATCACTGTTGTTCAAAGCATCAAAACATTCCACTTGTAAAAAGCATTAAATGCATATCTATTATGTCAGAGAAGGTATTATATTCTATATGTTATAGAACTGTTGTAAAATAAAAGTCTAACACAATGATATGGTGAAGTCTATTACAGGAACGTCTCTTTTCTAAAATTTTAGAAAACTAATAGTCAGAGCTCATGCTTTTTTTAGTATGATCAGTTGTACCCATACTAATCCCACATGCAAGGACCAGGGAATGGGAATGTATCACTAGACTTCTCAAAGCAATTCGGGAAGGATCAAGACCATATTTACTCATTTGATAATGACATCGTACAGCTTACTTTTCATCCCACATGTGAAAGCACCAGTTTTCTGATAAAGTATCAGCTTGCTGTTAGGTTTTTAGAGCCTGGATGGGAGGGACTGAGGGGTACTACATGGAGTACTTTGAAATCAACTTTTTCAAAGTCCAAGTCAAACTCCTTGGACTTTGAGAAAGCTCAAAGTTCTCTGCAGGAGACTTCCTGGGGTTTCAAAGTACTGGACGTGGTACAAATTGCAAATATTGTCAATATTGGCTTATTACCACATAAGTAATCAAGTATTTGATTCTGCTAATGAATTTGTGAGTTTTATAAGAAAATTGCTCAAGTGCGTCATGCACTCTTGCCGAGGTATACTCTAGCAAAACTGTAAAAGACAAAAACAGGCACAAATCATCACTGTTCATCAAAAACAGAAATTCTCTGAAATTAAGAGACTAGTAAAAGTTCATGTCTTCATTCGCATCAACTTAGACTCATTCATGTTCACTTTCCATCCACTCAGTGTCATAATGCAGGCTGAAAATGTCATCAACAATCAACTGAGGTTTATTTCCTCATAATGACATCACATAAAATAGATGAAAAAGTAGTCAATACCCTTTGCACCACTCAAAACATGAATCCACTACAAACCTGTGGGTTGAAACGAACTTTATTGTAAATCCTTCTACATGTAAATATGCAATCATGTTCAACAATGGCGAAATAAAACAATATAAAAAAAGAAACTACTTTTTCCACTTTCAGTGTTTTTTTCTTTGGCAAAGATTGCTTGGGTTCACAATGTAAATAAACTTCAATTATACAAAATCTACATTTTTAATCATTGAATCAGTAAAAATAAGTTCAGAGTGGACTATTCTAATTATTATTTGAAGCAAAACTACTTGTAAGTATTATAGAAGGTTTTTTTTTTTTTTTTTGCAATGCATGCAGAAGAATGGCAAACTTTGTATGTCTCTACAAAATAACAATTATTTTTGGGGATGAATTCCAGTCAAAGAACAACAGAAATCAACTCCCAAAAATGCAACACAAACCAGTAATTCATATGCGATTCAAAAACAATTTTTAATCGTGCTATGTCAGAGACATTTTAAAATGTCCTCCTCTTTTAAGAATTGAATGAATTTGAGGAACGTATCAAGTCCATTTTGAATATTATAGGAGGATGAATTCAAATCCTTATGAATTTCTGGTTAATTTAGAAGAGCAAAGCTTGCCTAAAACTAACGCAACTACAGTAATTCATGAACTAAGAAGACTTACTGCTGTAGCTACATTGTATTTGTAGATGAAACTGTAAAATAGTCACTAACATGATTGAGAGAAAGGGGCAAAGAAGAAGAGCCTGTATAGAAGGAAATCTCGACTTATCTTTTTCCCTCTCTATCGCTTTCTCAATAAACTCTTGAGACAGCATATGCTACACAACAAGCCCAAACAAAAGTCAAAGCTTATAGTTGATGATGTTAAATGTGAATTGGCGCTTTTGTGAAATAGCACATTAATTGGCAAGACTACCAGCTCTTGGTGACCAGAACTGTACATACAGGATTTGAATGAAAATTTTATAAATTGCTTTCCTGATAGAGCTACTTTGTTAATATTTTTTATCAAAATAAAAGTGCTTTAAGAAATGTAAGTTGAGACTTTTGACTGGGCTGTTTGCATAGCAGTCCAAAATGTGTTTCAGAACAATCTTATCAAGTTAATGATCAAGTCATCCTAAACTCTTTAGATACTAAGGTATGACTTTGTAGAGAAATAGTTATATTAATTATTGACATAATTTTGATAAATGCTTTAATTACAAATTCAAGAAGAGCTTTAACTATTCTACAATTCTATCAATGAATTCAAGAAATCTTTTAGCATAATTCTCTGGCTTAACTGTTGAAATCTCAGCTCCAGCCTGAAACCAATCAAAACAAATCATTTATAAAAATGAGAGAGTATGCAAATTATCAAGCTAACTATAATGAACATGCATTCGTCAATGTTGCAAAGGAAACTTGCATATTATGTACAAATATGGTCACAAGCTTCCAGGGTACAATGAAGGTGATTGGTCAAATCACAACCAACAAATGGAATCAAATCTGGTGCCTGATCAAAAATAAACTGTCTTTGCATTAACAGAGTTAAAATAATGTTTATTTTTACTGGTTTAATGGTGGTTGATGTGATTTAGTAATGTGGATATTTATAAATATTAAACAATTATTATTATATTTTGAGTTATAAAATTTGATGTTTTACTAACACCTGAAACTTTTTTTACAACTTTTTTAAATTACATATAGTAAGGTATTCATAGTTTTTTTATGAGCGTGTGGCCAGGTATTTTCAGGACATTTTTCTCAAAATCATCTCATGTTTATTTGAAGTCATTCTGGCCAAGACAAAGCTTTCTTTATTTCAGGTTGTTAACAATCTCAGGCATCATTAAGAACATCTTGGTTTTACGATGACAAACAAAATGTTTATAGGGTTATAAATTAACATTAATTTAGTAGTTAAAATGATATTAAAAGTGTGATATTAAACAGCTTATTTTGATGATGAAAGGTGGGGTTGTTTTACCCAATGTTGATTGGGAGCCAAATTGCCTTCATTGTGATTTAGTGACACTCTTCTCCATGGCTTTGATGTTGATAGCTGCAGTACATAAAGATACATGGACAAAGATGAAGAAGACAAACACACACAGACATTTACTAGTAGTCACATTGGACAACATTCATAAACAAACATAATAAACAAAATTATTCTTGAATTAGGCTGAGAATTATATCAAGAATTATTCATCAAAACTGTTAGGCTTATAATTGCTCCTCTGAGCTTTGCATAATTTTTCATATCATACTAAAGTACAATGCAAAAAACTAGAAAGTCTCCTCACAGCCAATTTTTGTGGCAGGCTCCCTGAGTACAGACAAACATGGAACAGATAACTAACAAGAAAGGCTTTTGGTTTTTGTTTAACAATAATTCAATTTACAGTTCCCATGAGACATTTGTCGCAGGGCGTGCATTACTACTGTGAATACCTGTACCTTAGAAACTAGAAAATACATGTATAAACTCTACAGATAACTCACTGTATACATGTACAACTCAAAACAGCTGTTCTATGTACAATGTACTTGCAGACAATTATAAATGAAAAAAAGCAGCTTTACAAACTTACAAGAAACACAAGAATTTATACACATCAAGTAAGACAGGTTTTCAAAATCAATAACAAGAAATACCTACCCCATGTTTTACTGTCTTCGCAGCATGGGCTGCTTTTTTCCCAGCACCGTAGTACGTGAGAACATCAATAATACCCATGAAATATATTTCTCTCTTTCCACCTTGAATTGAACAAATAAATCACATACTTAGACATCTGACTGTATATATCCAACATTTTTATGAAAATYATTTCAAATTGCATGCTTTATTCATCAAATATCATTTTACTAATTTATGCCAAAGAATTTACATTAAAATTAAACTTTAATACATTATTTTAGTAAGTTATGATTATCATAGTATGAATGGCAGATATCATCTTCATTTTCATCAAGTATCTTATGATCAATTTTAGAAAAAAGAGAGCAAGAGGGATTCAAATAATAAGCTATTAAATAAATAAAGCTTAATGTTGGTCAGTATATTTGAAAACACATTTAACAGACCAAAGCCTGCAGTAAACAAACTGAACTGAATATGAACAACTAAGTTTCTGGACCTTCCATTATCATTGCTAACTGCGTTTTTTACTGGGAAACTGAGAAACACCTGGGTATTTTGATTTCTTTCTTGTTGGTAGTTAATGGATGTTATAATAGCCAGTATCCTTTACCTTCTGTACTGTGTACAGAGAAGATAAAATCGTCTTCTTTATCATCACAGTCACTACCGACACTCAGTGAGCGAAATCTGTCCTCATCTGTAGCGGGAGGTGTGTCAGGGGGGGATGCTGAGAGTTCCCCCTCCTGTGGGGAATCGGGATCACTTTCTTCATTGCTTTCACATCGACTTTCGTCACCAACTCCTTCATCCTCGTCGAATGCATCTCCTGCCTCTGCGAGCTCACAGTCATGAATTCCAAGGAGCAAACTGTAGTCCATTATATTTAAACTTGTGAGAAACTGTTGAGAAAAATTGGAATAAAACATATATAGTTAAACTAGAAGCACTTTAGAAGAAACTAATTAAACCATTATTGTCTCACCTCTACATCATCTTTGACTTTCTCTACAAGATCAGCTTTAGCTTCATCACCAACAACAATTTTTACATTATCTTTAGTAAAGTCATTATCTTTAAATGTTGGCTGGTCTTTTGACTGGAAGAGATAACAGTAAAAAAATGACGGGTTAGTTGTAAAATCTGAAGCATATGGACAATAATAGGATTCACGGGGGATTAGATAATATACTCCTGTTGATTTTCCCACATACATTTATAACTGCAAACTCTCTTCCAATTCATTTAGACAATTTGCTTACCTTTTCTTTGTTACTAGCTTGTCGATCAACCGTAGATCCTTTTAGATCATACTTCTTGTGTATTTTTAGTCTGCTTCCAAACACACTTTTCATAACTAAGACATAGGTTTCTTTGCCATCAACAGTTATCCGATACATCGCTAAGTACTGTGGTAGCAAAGTATTTGCACGCTGCTTGACAACATACTGAAATTATAGAAGAATATTATAATTGTACAAATGAAATTGGAATTCATTAATTCAAATGATCATTATTTTAGTATATTCAATACTAACAGCTAAATTAAAATTTTTGTGTTGCAAAAAAGGTAATATTATGAAAGCTAGCACAGCAAGGGATTTTAAGTACAGAAATTCAAATCACATTTTGCCTGAAGATTTATCATCTTATCATTAGTAGATGAGATCAAGTTTTTCCAGTACAGGCAATCTTTTCATACTAAAACACTGTTACTCATAATATTTGCTTTCCCATGATCCCTTTTGGGCTTAGTTTTGATGATGTAATCTTTTCAAACCCGACTGTTTTTTTGTTTTTTTTTTAATTTGCTGTCAGTATATTATGTTTGTTTTAGGTAAGCAATAAACAGGAAATCAGACAAGGCAGATAATGATAAAAACTCAATGAAGCACTCACAAAAATGCACAATGCATCATTTGATAATAAAGTACATTATTTAATTATTTACTTATTATGATTGTTTTTATAATTTTACTAACATGATGATATTCCTGTAAAAAAGTGTGTAATCTTTCAACTTCTTCACTTTCAATGGTCTTGATGTAGAATTTCTTATTCCTTGAGGTGAAAAACTTTGCTCCAGAGCGCCCTTGTGAAGAACTTGCTAATGGTGACTCAAGGAAGGATTTCTGATAGAAAACAATGAAATATAATCAACTTGGTACAATCTTTGGCCACAGTTCTTTTCATAGTATATTTTAACCCTGAGGCACCCACTTGAGTCAAGTACATAGAAACCCTCAAACATCCTCGGAAAACCCTCAGGAGAACTTTTAGGTGGCTACCTTTGCCAAATTTAAGTGAAAATGCTTGTGGAATAATTATGATTCACGCACAGTTACTTTTCCAGAACAGTCATCTACTTCTGATTTTTGAATTTGTAAAAATTACACCAGAAATGATAGGTATTTATGATAAAGTATTTTTCTTCTTGCATTGGATAAAAATCGTGCAGGCAATAGCCGTCTCTCTTTGACTAGTGCACACTTCTATCTTGACTATATTGATCTCTGTGTTGTCATTGACTAGACAACACCTGTAAATGTGAGCTCAGACAGAGATTTTTTGCTTCAAATTTTCTAAGAACAAGATTGGTATTTCAAAAAGTACCAATGGAGTTTAAAACAGTATTCCAAAACTTCAGAGAATAATATTATTAAAATCAATATACAAAATTTGCAACTGCTGTCTAGAAACAAATGTGATCCATTCTTAGTCTGTGTTACACGTCCACTAGATGAGAATATGATAAACAAATCCATTACTCACCGCTAATTCTTGATCATTAACCCCGAATCGCTCTCTCAAGTGTCGAAACACCATAGGGCAATATTCTTTGAATTTGAAATGACTTGGTAAATTCTCTCTGGAAAAGGAAATGAAAATTATCAAAACTATGAAGAGGATTTCAAAGAAATCAAATTGGGCTACATGTACCAAATTATGATTATTCCACTCATTTGTAAACAGAAATACATGTATAACTTACTGCAATCAAAATGAAATAATCTTTTATTGATAATTGTTTGGATTTCATGGTACTGTATAATTCATCTAATTTAACAATGATTGTAATAATACATTTGACATCAAAAATAATAATCATCAAACTAATTACATCATAACAATACTGATCATGATAAATAAAACATCAGAACCTAATATGAGACGTGTAAGCAGACATTAGTAGCAGATCATGACCATATTTGGAGCTTCATTCGAATTTCTTGTCGCTCACATTGAAACGAAACACATTTGACAATTTTCTTGCCTTAAGGAAGTTTTCTCATATGCTGCTATAATGATTGTAATTAATACATTATTCAGTAATAATCACCATCAAACTAATTACATGATCATGATGAATAAAGCATCAGAACCTCATATGAGACGTGTAAGCAGACAGTAGCAGATCATGACCATATTTGGAGCTTTACTCTAATTTTTTGTCACTAGCATTGAAAACGAAACACATTTGACAATTTTCTTGCCTAAGGAAGTTATTTTCATGTGCTGCTTTTAAAGGAAATTTCTCACATTTTGTGTTATATTTTATTCAACTCCCAAAGTTTCAGAGACAGAAGGATACATTTATTTTGCAAAATAATATTATTAATGAAATAAACAAAATAGTCCAGAAGATATGGGACATAAGAATGTGTCACATGTTTCTGAAAATGTTTAGGGGTTATTTAAACTGTTATGTGGAGTCTTGAAGTGCCATTTCATTATTATATACTTTCTATCTATGCATTTAAGTGTTCAAAATTATTTTCATATTGATAAAGTAGATGGAGAAGAGCTGGAGGTAGAGTTAGCTCTGCATTCAGTGTTTGTGATCTTTTGTTATGTAGATCAGATAATTTATCATGTATTTTATCAAGGAAGTTTTTTTCTGCTCTTATAAGGTATAAGAAAAAAAGAGAATGCTCATCTAGAAAGATCAATAATATTCTCCCTRTGTAAACTAACTACTTCAAAAAATAGTTAAGTTAATAGGTACTAATCAAGTCATTCCATGATACATAATTTATCTTTCAATATTTTGTCTGATATTAACAATAATATGGTGCTCTCTCTGAAGCAAAATTTAGTTACAGCACCTCAACTGAAGCAAGACTTTTAACACAAAGTGGATGTTGTTTACATAGAATTGCAGTTTCAACAGGAAAACAATAGCATGTTGAAAGTAAAATTAGGGAAATTATTCCATATACCTTTTAACCACAAATTGATCACATTATCAGTCAATATAAGGAAGACTTTGGCTATGAAACATCTACATACATGTAGTTAACTATGTGCAAGGAACATTTTCCAAATGAAAATAGCAAGATTAGGATRAAAGTGAAAGATTAAATGACAGCTTTTCATCACCAAAGGCAAGGAACCCAGCATGAGATTAAGAAAGATAACCTAGTTCTACTTTGTCATATAAGCAATTATGCTGTGGTTTAGAAGGGAAAGAAAAATACCACACCATCTGAAGCAACAAAAGCAAGCTTTGCACATTCAGTCAATTCAAGGAATCTTGAAGGGAAATGCACAAATATTAACTGTCATTATAAATCAAGTGTTAAAATAAAGCCCAGAAAAAAACGTATCATCAAATATAATGATGTTATGTGGAACAATTATGGTCCTAGCCTTTGGCAATAACATCTTGCAAATCCTCACTTACTAACTTAAGACACATTGTAAGGCCAAAAGCAAAGCATTGTATTCCTCAAAAACATTAAATGTTAAACATGTTATGGAAAGGATTTTATGGGATAAAAAATGGCCAAAATACCGTCCAATAAGATGTCTACATTGGTTAATTAATAAGCCAAATAGAAATATGGCACATTGGGTGGTAAACCATTGAGATATACATTTTTGATCAACAAGGGAGATTTAAGTATTCATATTAACTTTTATTGACAAAAGATCCTTCGAAAATGAATTAAAAGACTAAAGAATACAGAAAATTTTGAACATGTGAGCTAGAAAGAGACAAATATGCAATTTTAAATTCAATTGGCACACGTTGTGGATGAGAAAAATATGAGATAAGAATTTACCCGACCGCAAGCAAAATGTACGGAAGTTATCTTTATTTTTCACGCTAGCATTTGTAGGTTTTAAAGACGTTTTTGTCTTGTTTAATAAAATCGAAAGCCAGACTAATCCCCTAATATTTTAGACTATGTTTTGAATGTAAATGACCGAAAGAAATACATGAATTATTTACATCCAGAATACCTAGATGCTAGGTGATTTCATCTAAAGCATGTCGAATCAAAGTGCAGAGACGTAAAGCTTAAGTTACAATAGAATCGTACTTTATAACTCGTACACAATGCGAAAATTAAGGTCATGTTATCTAGTGGATAATTTAGACTAACATCTTATCTTGAAACTTATATAAATCGGCTTTTTGTAAGCAGCCACGCTTTAATTCGCATTTACAAAAATTCCCAGCTCTATACAATAAAGAAAACGCTTTATTGACATGGAAATGAAATCCAGATTTAGAAAGTCATTGAGTGTAAAGTACAAGAAAACAGACGATGTATGCATATCGAACCTTCATCAATTAAAAGAGGTCAACTTTCGAGTTGAACCAGTGCACTAATTAATTCCTAAATCTAATATCTTCTCCAAACAAGACTGTGATAGTCAAAAGTTTATAAACTTAACTTATAAAACACCACATACCAGTTGTCTAAAATAAATTGAATTGAAGTTTTAGCGTGTTTTTGTACTATCAGCGCTTTAATAATAACACTTTAATCCTTACTTGTTATAGGAATGGTTGTCCACACGAATTTTCGAAAAGGCTTTGAAATCGTCAGGCATCAGCATAACAGGGACGTTGACGTGAGATAGTTCATTTATCTAGAAATCCAAATGACCCAATTAACTGCAGTTAAAAAGGAAATCTCCGTTCTTGACTCGTTTACGTACCGTGTGATTCACTCCCCACATCAGAACCCCGAGCAGTGGATCGTTCGATCGAAAAATCTTCCTTTTCTGGCTCACAGCACGGAATTTCTTCTTCTTTTTCATTTTGCTATTGGAAGAAAGCATCCTAGAAACACCTAGAGTCCCAGTGATGGGATTTTGATGCGTCAAATCATGTTTTTTTGGCCGTAAATTAGGAACCCTTCTCCCTTTGACTTGTCAAATGTCTCTGCTCTGCATAAACTACCATCAGGCCTTGCGGGCTACTGCAAAGACTGCCGAACCGAGAGGATCCCGGGGCGAGTGAGAATTTTCGTCGGCATTTTCTTTTACGTTTAAAATACGCAAATTAATTTTTTCTTCTTTTCYATCCTTGCATATTAATCCTTTAATTATCTGAATTTTTTGATGAATGGGCTACCTTCGTTGATGATTTGCTACAGAGTTAAGTGAGTTAGAGAATAGAACAGATGGCTTTTCTCGATCCTTTCAGCTCTTTGTCAGAATGTTTTCAGTAAWTWTTTTTTTTTCGTTCAAGCCTTAGCTTCATCGGTATGAACGTATTCCAGAGATACTCTTTTTCGGCTTATACCATCGCATTTTCTCTGCTATTAACAGAGTATCTTCCTGCTTTGAAAATTATTCGAATTGCATCCTTTCCCCCTTGTTCTAATATATCTCTTTTTTTTTTTTTGCGTGGAAGTTATTTTTTCGTAATAATAGTATATCATCATACTTACATCCCATCCATTATTTAATACTGGGGCTATAACACATCTAATTCCCTACAAGACTAACGATATTCCKCCCATTTATTTTGCAAAGTAATTTCAGAATAAAGGCGACCATAGTTGCCAGGAAACAAATACAGATTCACATTCAATTCATCRCAAAACGCTTTTTTAAGGTGTATCAACACGATGGACATAAAACAATTCGTAAGTAAAAGAAAAAATTTATCGCTGATCTGCTTTTCTTTGCCCTTTGGCGCTGTCTCGATCAAAAGATGGAAAAGATCTATAAATGCTAAGTGAAAATTTTCCCGCCATTCTTCTAATAACTTCAATAATACACATGTAAATTGTCCCAAAAAGGCACTCGGGAAAAATCAGACAATAAACTGACAGGCAACTAGAGAGAATATGGGATGAGATACTTACAATAACCCGATATACATGTAGTCTTAACGGGGCTGTAGGGAGTCTTCCACACAGAACCCCCCAGGGGCCGCGGAGAGAGCTGGGCTGGGGGGAGGGGTGGGGGCTCCCAAATATTATTATTTTCAATAGTAATGATTTCTACTGCGAGATATATATACTGGAATTCGTTTCTTAAAATATTTTGATCGGCATTTTTTAAATTAAAATTCTACCAGAGATCGATTTGTTTTTTTTTTCTTTAACCTTGTAAAGAAAATTAAAGTTTCTTTGAAAGRTACGCTAGGCATTGCCGAATCCTAAGAGATTTTTGTTGGCAGTATGAAAGTGTAAAAAAGGCAAAACGCAAAACATYAATTTTATAATGAAATAAAATGCGGCATATTGTGATGGCATTTYAATTKTYAGTCGAATATTTTYGAYAATTRATAGACTAAAAACTAACAGAAGCGTTTTGAGCTAAAATACCTCTCAGAMCRCTGAAAAGCGCATCTGGGAACCTCAAAATTGCAAACATTTTCCGGGGGYACATGCACCCGAACCCCTCTAGTTTGCAACCGCCTCCGTCGGTGAAGCCCCCGCAATGTACAGACCGCTCCGCGGCCCCTGACCCCATAGTCTAGAAAGGAATTAACGATTATTGGGAGTGCCCTATACGTATGACCTTTTCCATCGCTGCTAGATTCGAGTTAACTGAAAMGGCCYGCATGGAGTTATATTTTGCTACATATTTAACAATTAGACCTCGAGGTCGAGTGGACTGCGAGCWAATAGCMCAWGAGKCCGAGTCCGCGAGGCCGAATGGGCTATTAGCTCGTAGTCCACGAGGCCGAGAGGTCTAATTGTTTTAGTATAAACATACTAATCGGTCAAATAATGAAAACAAATTGAAATATCCTTAAAATAATTTATTAATGAGATGCCGCCATTTTGACTTTCCCGCGAGTAGTCTATCACAAATTAGACCATTAGTACTACAGTAGTCAATCACAGCGCAGTATGAGTGATAGACCATTAGTATGTTTATACTAAAATATGTTATTTACCGGCTGAAGTAAAGAGGTCTTGACGGCACAGTATGATATATTTTTTCGACGTCTTTTTGCTAAATTTCATTAGAACTGAAACCTGGATACTTTAGTATCAAAAACTGTTATCCTGATTTCTACAAGTAAACTAAAACCGCAAGAGCGGATCCAAGGTGTTGCTGCCTCCTCTGGGCGTAAAAAGATGACTGTTTTATATTATTTTTAATGTTGTTTATAACAAATAGAGCCCATTTAAACCTCTCAGCCTACCCTTAAAATTTCAGCTGGATTCGCACTTGAAACGTTACTGATTATATCAACTGTAACTAAAATACTCTTCAGTCATGTAACATAAATACAGCGTTTAAACTGAATCAAAAAGAATCATGCATGCGATGCGCATGTTGGTCTGAATCAGAGCTTATATCCGGTATAGTCGACCCAGGGGCTTGTATGGTAGTTACCACGGATTCTGATAAAATGCTTGTGGTGTTACTCCGACGTACACTTGTCCTTGTGGGTACATTTGCTGGTTGACGGCTGTAAGAGAACTAAGCTAAGTAAAGGCGGGCATAAAAGAAAGGGAGTCAACATAACAATGAGAAATTGAATTTGTCTTAAAAAGGACAAGGGTTGCATTAGTCATCCACTTATTTCAAAGTCAGGCTGATTAGAATGGGAAGGAACGTAAAAATTAATGCAGCTACGAGGACTCTAGCTAGAACCAAAAGCTGGATTGCTATAAGAAACAAACACTTCGAGAAGCCTGACGCTTTCCTCATAAAACTCTGTCTGATGGAACTCTATCAATGTCACYACTTTTTTTGACGTCAATGACGCAATATTGACGTCAAATATTGACGCACGAATTATCTCATCTGATTAGTTTGGTTTTTGGATGCTTCCTGACATGATACCTCAGTTTTTCCAAAAACTCAACGTTCGCGCTGATTGGTCAAAAATTAAGCAATAGAGAACACGTTTGGAGGCGAGGTTCATGAGACGTTGCTTGGAGACAGGTGAAGAAAAGGTTAACGTCGGGCAAGGCGTGTCTGGCAATCAGGGTACACTTCGAGTGACCGGTGCTGAAATCACCGCAAATAGCTTTCTGCTTTAGTCTCCTTCGCAGCAGGACTTATGGAAAGCCCAATGAAACAAGAACTGGCTGCACAGGGACACGCTAAAATTGCTTCGAAAGAGCTCAAATTTCCTTCCAAAAAGATCGAAAAAATCGCTGCAAGTAGAAGTAGAAACAAATAACCTAAAGGAACGCGAACTCTCACCGGAAAGAGATCAAATCTACGCTCTTACCATAACCGTGGTTCCTCRCTTGCCTTGAAGGTTTATGCTGTCGAAGGGATGGATTGAAAAATGTGAGAGTTTTTGCTGGTGACGCTTCAAGTTCGACTTGATGACTTACTCTAAACTTACGGAACGCCTCAGCTATCTTGAGYCTCTTTTCTTTGTAAAAGACGACTCCCTGAATGGAAAGAAAACTCATCAGCGTTAAATARCTCTTAGAAAAAACAGAAATCCGCATGCTTTAGTCGAGCGTTTAGAGTTTAGAGCGATAGTCATATAGACTTTTAGAAACGTTACACACCCTTGACTTGGACTGGAAATACAAAATGACTAGCGCACTATGCCCTCCCACTCCAGGCGCGTAGCATGGACTTTTTGGCTAGTACGCACATGTCAGGGGACCGCGATTCATATTTTGGATACGGGGGTCTAACGACCTCCAAAGGGAGACTGGACCTCCCCCAGGAAATTGTGAAACAATAACTCTAGGAAATGCGATTTCCAGCGTTTTGAGAGACAGCGACGGCATATAATTACAGGGATCAATTTTATGTGAATTTTTCAGTAATTTTTGTGAAAATTTTGATATTTCCTTGCCACTAGTACGAACGTGCGTATATGCGTAAAGTGCAATTACAACATACACCTGACTTGTCCCTAGTTGTCTCTCGCGCCTTATTTTTCTTCTGTGTCGGCTTTTCCCGCACGAGAGAGGGGTMGAGAACGACTGGGGAGGAGTCGGCACCCACGATTTTTAAAAGTGTACACCCCATTCTGTGGAGTGGAACTACTCCTCCATGATCCCCACTGTTCACTATATTTTATAGATTATATATCAAAAGTCTGATCAGCTCATCCCCWATATCGAAGCCCACCTGATTCAGAACTACCTCGACATCCTCTTCTCTGTAAAAGGTTATGAAACCATACCTGAAAATATACATAAATAAACATTATTGAAGCGAAGATAATTAAAAAAGTACGTCGTTTCCTCTTTTTAACACTTAATCATCCTTCCGACCGATAAACAAGCATGCACTCGGTTGAACAATTTAAATCGTAGTGAATAACTTTAGTCACGTACAGTGAGTATATGTGTATGCATAATTCAATCGGTATTACCCTCTGCTTATTCCTTCTTGATCGTATATGACCTTGCCATCGCGAACCGCCGCAAAATGGCTGAAAAACTCTACTAATTCTTCCGAATTAGTCTAGAAAAAGATAAACATGATTAGCATCGTTATGTAAACAAACCATGGAAAGCAGTACACCGATACAAGCAAACTAAAT